TATCTGGGAGACGTCAGATGGCAGGAAGCTCCATTTGTCTCTCTCTGGTCCCAGTGAGATTGCTGGGTTATGATTATATTGTGTGCTGATGGGGCCTGGCGGCTGGATAAACTGCCTGCCGTCTGCGCTCAGCTTCCTCCCATTCATTTTTCATCTGCTATCTATTTTGCCGCTGCAATGGGCGAGGTTCGGCTGGTCTGGGTGTTACTCAGTCACAGCTGCTTTTCTTCCCCGGCTCCTACAATGGTGCTGACACCATCCACATTCAGAAGGATGATGTCAGCCCCTATCAGTCAGTAGCACTCTCGCCTCTGATTCAGAAGGTTCGAACCTCCGTGTCGTGACTTTGAGCTATCATTCCACTGGGGGAGGGCGCGTGTGTGTGTGTGTGTGGGGGGGGGGGGGGTGGAAGGGAGGGCGTGGGGTTGGGGGGAATGCTACTGCATTGTTGGAGGTAACGTCCCTCCAGATGAGGCGCTAAACTAAGGTCCCACTGTGCGCAAACTGGCTGTCGCCTTCGCCTCTAAAAAAACATAGTCACTCCACGTCACAGCACGAAAGACGCTGTATAAAACGTAAGGCTTATTACAATGCTCCCTTAAAAAAATTAATGTGATAATCCCTTCAAAAAAACAACTTGGTCACTCAATCCACGACTGTTTGTGGGACGCTGCTGTAGCGCAATTGGCTGCCGCGTTTTCCCCACAAAAATACACGGTCAATTCACTTTACAGTATATTCAGTGAAGCGCTTTGGGACGTCTCGAAGATGTGATAAGGGGCTGTTATTATTTTATTGACACAAGCCTTCGTCACTGCTACAAAATAGCCTAACAGCGAGTGCTGGTTAATAAAGCTGTCAGAATGACTACGTTTGCTCCTTTTAGCAACGCCACGTGCTCAGACCTCAACAAACACCGCATTGTATTTTCTTCTTTTGCACAACTTGCGTTTAATCTCCGCGAAGCATTAAAATAATGAAGCGGAGTGTTCCATCGAAAATCCCCAGGTCAGGGCGAGGTGATGTTTCATAAATAAATTAAACGCTAGCATTGATTCCCATTTCCCCCTGCTTGAAACTGTTCATTTAGCGTTCCTCCCGAGATGTGCTCCAGATCTATAATCCTTTCTGCTCTCGTGCACACGGCCTACACTTTAGTATTAAAGTATCAAATGTACCAAAGTGGCAGCTCGGCTTGCAGTATTAACGTATTCGCAGGGGAAGCAAGAATAAAGCAGGAATGCTTTCCCGACAGGCAAGGGTAGTGTGTATAGTCCCCGGAGACATCGACACAGATAGTGTCACTTCAGCACTCTGCTCAAATTCCTATTATTGTAACACGCTTATTAGCTTTCAATTAGCTTTCAAAATGAAACTAGATAAATACCTAAAAAGCAGTAAACTACAGGGTAATTCTTGAGGGCTGATAATTGGGACTGAATGGATTGCTCTTTAATGGGCCGAACGGCCTTCTTCAGTTTTAGTATGCGAGTTTCTGTGGTTCTATATTTCAGTCTGAAGTTTGTGGGTTCAAGCCCCCCACGTCGGGGCTTGGAATCACATAGTCTAAGTTGACGCTCCAGTGCAGGGCTGGGGGGGGGGGGGGGGGTGTTGCATTGTCGGGAGGTGCCGTCCTTCGGATGAGATGTTAAGCTGAGGTCCCGTCTGCCTGTTCAGGTGGATGTTAAAGATCCCACGGTGCTACTTGAAAAGAGAAGGGAGTTTCTCCCGCCAGGTGTCCTGGTCAACAGTCCTCCAAATAATAAAAATTGGTCACTGACTCACTGTTTGTGGGACACGGCTGTGAGCAACAACAACAACAGTACAACAACAACACCAAGATTCCATTTATAGAGCGCCTTTCACTCGGGAGGACGTCCCAAGGCGCTGTACAGTTGGGTCAGGACCCGAGCATTGGAGGGAAATGGTCAGGGTGAGGGGAGGGAAGGGAGGGAGCGAGGAGGGGGTAGAGAGTCGAGAGGGGAGCTGAAGGCACGGTCAAAGAGAAAGGTCTTGAGACCGGCCCTGAAGGAGGAAAGGGAGGAAGCGGCGAAGGCACTGGGGGATAGAGTTCCAGAGCCTCGGGGCTGAGAGGCTGAAGGCCCGGCCACCGATGGTAGGGCGGTTGGGGCGGGGGATGTGGAGCAGACCGGAGCCAGAGGAACGGAGGGTACGGGCAGGTAGGTAGGGGGATAGTAGGTTGGAGAGGTAGGAGGGAGCGAGGCCGTGAATGGCCTTGTAGGTGAGGATGAGGATCTTGAAATCGATCCTCTGGGGGATGGGGAGCCAGTGGAGGCGAGCGAGGGTGGGAGTGATGAGCAAACTGGGTGACACATTTCGCTCACAGAATACACATTCAATCCACTTTACATTATATCCTGTAAAGTGCCATTCAGCCCATCAAACCTATTCCACCAGTGAATCAGATCTTGGCAGATATTTTAATCCTGATACCTCTAGTTACCCCCACATCTCTGTCTGTCTCCCTTTTAAACATTCCCTATTGATTCCACCTTTACAGCTTTCTGGAGCAGAGCATTCCATATCCTCACAAAACCTCTGTGGGAAGAAATTGCTTCCTGACCTCACTGCTAACTGTCCTGGTGTTGATTTTAATGCTCTGCCTCTTGTAATGATTCCTCTAACAGAGGGCAGAGTCGGGCACTCTCTAACCTGTCAAGTCCTGTTATTATTTTAAGCACTTCAACCAAATAACCCCTTCACATAGACGATATTTCGCCCAAAGGCCAGTGTTTGCCTTATTGATCTCTTCCTTATGCCACTACTCTTTGTTCCAATGCTCCTGGGCTTGGTGGGTGGGTGGGTAGGATTGGGGGGGAGGGGCAGTGATAGAAACTAGGCCAGGGTTCCTCCTCTTGACGCTTTGTACTGGAAAATGGATGTGCGTGGATGTTGTCTGCTTATCACACATGCACATGCGCGCACACACACCCACACACACGTGCGCACAGACACACCATATAGACACGCAGACACAGATAGACACACGCGCACACAAACACATACGCAAACATACACGCACGCACACACAGACACATCACATAAAAAACACACAAACACAGACAGATACATGCACACGCACACACACACACACACAACCACAGTTGAATACTCTGCCCACACATATTGCCTGAGCGTAAGCATGAGGAGCGGCCAGTTGTGTGAGGAAGAGGAGGCAACACAGGGAACTGTACTCAATCATGAGTCAGTGCCTTTGAGAGGAAGGAAGGCTGAGACCTGAACAGAGTCAAACACCAGAAAAATAGCAGCTCTGTTATCAAACCTGCGAGACTCACTGGGATGTGAAAATCAGGCCTGTGAATCTTACACTGATGAAACTGAGGTTTGTCCTGTAAAACATCAGCTACTGCAGTCTGTTCTGGTTGTTAACTTGTTAACATTATTCTCCGGTGTCTCGCCAGCAGCGAGGTGGGGAATTGAAGATGTGTCAGTCAGTGCAGGACAGTAACGCAGGAGCCACACTGCTCACAGGGAGGGGAGCGACTGACAGCAGATCACACAGAATGAGGGAACAAACACCTGCTATAGCTCTTAAACTTCCTCTGGGAAATGAATCCCTCCCATCACCACACACACACAGGCCTACCTGTTTATGCCAACATTGAAGGGACCGAGTGAATTTTTAGTTGAAATAAGCGCGTTGTTGACATAATAATAATATTAATCCTTTCATTTGATAGAGCGCCTTATCCCGTCTTCGAGACATCTTAAAGCGCTTCACAGAATGTACCGTAAAGTGAATTGACTGTGTATTTTGTGGGCGAAAAGCGATAATAATACAATGTACTAACGCTCTTAGGGACTTGAAAAATTAGCGATCATTTTGTCGATTCCCCCGGTCCCCCCACCACAGACTCTGGGAAAAGGTGTTAATCTTTTAAATTTGCTGCTTTCTATTTCCTTTTTAGTGTCAATTTTTGGTTCCATTCAGAAGGGCGACCACAGGCTCCTTTGCTGACGTGGGAAGAATGTGTGGAGGAAGTTGGTACCTTCAGGGGTGGGAGTGGGATTCAGATCCTGTGGGATGAGATCTGTGTGGATTCAATCACCAGGAAAAGACTAATCTCTACTCTTGCTCGAGGCTTTATCATTCTCAAACTGGTTACCTGTTAGCCCTGCGTTCTTGTTGTGGAGTCCCGGAATGTGGTAGTTAGAGCACTCGCCTCGCAAGTGAGAGGATCCGGGTTCGATTCCCGGGCCGGGTGAAACGTTGGACAAGTTTCCTTTCTCCACACGCCTCTGTTTACCGAGCAGTAAGTAGGAACCCGGTTATTATTCGATTGTCAGATTGCATTACGGGGGTAATAAGCCTTCAAAGAAAAATTGGTCACTCAATCCGCAATTGTGCACAATTGTTTCGCCCACGAAATACAAAGTCAATCAATTTTACCATATATCCTGTGAAGCGCTTTGAGACGTCTCGATGACGTGATAAGGCGCTATATCAAATGCAAGGATTATTATTATTATATCATGTCCTTTGCAATCTTAATTTTAATTTCTCTCTGACCGGAACCCCCACCTCTCCACACAAACAAAGTCCAATCCCTCACCAACAACCACAGCAAGTAACATTTACACGGCGCCTTTCACGTCGGGAGGACGTCCCAAGTCAGTGATTTGGACCCGAGCCGGCGGTTGGGATCAGGTGGGGTGGAGGGAAGGGAAGCTAACAACAACAACTTGCATTTATATAGCGCTCTCACGCTGTGTAGCGTCCCAGAGCCCTTAGACGGTCGAAAGAACCAGGAGGAAGGATTTCGGGGTGTTGTGGCTGAAAGCTCGGCTGCCAATGGTGGGACGGAGGGCACGAGGGATTGTGCAGAAGGCAGGAGCTAGTCGAGCGGAGGCAGCGGGTTGTGGGGCAAGCAGGCCTGAGAGGTAGGGAGGTGCCAGGGCATGAAGGGTCGGGGCTTAAAGGAAAAGCGTTTAGGTCAATCAGCGGCTGTCGACGTTACCGGCAAAGGCTTTGGAGATGTGATCCTTCTTCCACTCCCAGGGCTGGTCGTACTCGTCTGCGGGCCGTTCGTCGTCCTGAGGCAGACGGCTTTCCCGGGTTTTCTGAGCCGTCGCATTCTCCGTGTCCGACTCCTCGTCGTTCCCCCGGGGCTCGTAGGGAGTGTCGTAAAGCTGGAGACCCTTCCCCAGCTTCTTGTCTCCCTTTCTCTGGAATTCTGCCGGGGGAATGGGTGGGAAAGGACAGAAGAAAATGACTGAGATGGAGGGTTCCTGACACAACGCTCTCAGTCAATAATCCTCATCACGTCGGAATATCCTAAAGCGCTTCGCAGTTTTCTGTTACATGCAGTGACTGTGTACTTTGTGGGTGAACTCAGCAGCCAATTTGCGCCCAGCACTGTCCCACCAACAGCTGTGAAGTGAGCAACCGATTTTATCGGGGGAATTGTTGGCCAGGACACCGGGGGAGAGAGAGAAAAACTCCTTTCTCTTTTCAAATAGCACCGTGGGATCTTTGACGTCCAGCTCAACGGGCAGACGGGTCTTTAAGACCACGTTCCCCTGCGCAGAATGTTCCTCGCTGGCAGGAAGATGCTAGAAACCACACTATCGATCTGCACGATTGATCAACATGGCCATAATTCCTCGAAACAAACTCCAGACGTGACCATCGTCTGCAATCGACCAATCACCAGCCCGGGATAACAGGTCACGCACGGCCAGTTGACCTCCAGGTTACGACTTCTTTTTGGTGAGCAGTGCAGAGGATTGGGATCAATATTGCCCCTCTCCTCCTCCTCCTCTCCTCCCCTCTTCTCTCTCAACTTCGCTCCTTTCCTCTCCCTGCTCTCCTCTCCTGAGGAATCTTACTGACCTTCAAACCAGCCCCTTAACCCCCCCCCCGCCCCCGATGTGAGGCCGGGCAGAGAAATATCACCACTGACACGACCCAAAACAGCCGAACATGTATACACACACGATGGGAGAGTGGGTACTTCCTGGGTTACATAGAGAGGGAACATTTTAGGGATATAAGAATTGCTGGACGGAGGGCCAAGGTCCGTCCAGCTCGCCTTCCACCAACCTATTAGTCGATTGACATTTTGGGGTACTCCTCATACGCTGTACCCCAAAATATTATTTCCTAAAAGAAGTCTATCTAATTTGCATTTGAAAGTATCGACACTTTCTGCTTTCCACCGTCTCCGTCTCCCTCCAGGCTGTGGTGTCCCAGTCACGTACCATCAGTGACCATTTTTGAGGCAACGTCTGGCACGGGAACAACAACAACTTGCATTTATATAGCGCTCTTCGCGCCGGACAGCGTCTCGGAGCTCTTGAGATGAGGAACAAGCGGGAAGCAGGGGCCAGTCGGGCAGACAATACTATTGGAAATTATGCATCCCCCCCCCCCCCCCCCACACCACCTCCTCCCACTGGGGAGAGTCAGTGGCCTCGGGAGAGAAGGGCAGAGGACACATCGCTGAGCAGCGGGACCCAACTGTGCCAAAACCCATCCTTATTCTGATCACGCAACACACACTCGCTACAGCATTGGTACCTGCTCACTGTTAACGTGCTGTCAGCCTTTGGTTCTATCACTTGTCATCGTAACAAAGACAGGTACCTCAGTCTATTTTTCAACCAATTTGCTGCTTTCAGCTACTGTCTCCCTCTGTCAGTTCACTTTTCCTCAGTGAGGACAGGCTAACTGAATGCTAAGCACCGCATCTCGGCAGCACAGATAACCTCGCTCATGTCATCTCCCATTTTTTCAAGAGGTATTCAGTGTTTTGCGCTTAGCAAAGCCGAGGGATGTCACTGCTGGAAATGGAATCCTTTCCTCCATTTCAGGCCCCAGCACTCCTCAGGCAGTCACAGCACGGGTTAGAGACAGAGTAAAGCCCCTCTACACTGTCCGTCCACGCTCTCAGGTCAGGGTTAGAGACAGAGTAAAGCCCCTCTACACTGTCTGTCCACGCTCTCAGGTCAGGGTTAGAGACAGAGTAAAGCCCCTCTACACTGTCCATCCATACTTCCAGGTCAGCTACAGCACGGGTTACAGACAGAGCAAAGTAAAATAATAATTCTTGCATTTGACATAGCGTCTGTCACGCTGGGACATAACTCGACTCAAGGCGCTTCACAGAATTTACTAGAAGCTCCCTCGTCTGTTCCGATAACATATCAGGATCTTTAACGACACTCTGAAGAGGGCGGTGGGACCTCGGCTTAGCGTCTCACCTGAAGGACAGCATCTCCGTCAATGCAGCCCCTCGCCCTCCCCCCAGCACTGCGCACCACCATCAGCCTGGACGGTGCGCTCTGAAGCATAGGAGGTGCCATTGTTGTGGCAGTGAGAGGGTTAAGCCCACGCACAGCCACGATGCTCCTCACCACTCAGGCCGAAGGCCAACACAGGTTCCCTGGGATTCCTGGTCGCCGTGGCAACCGACATCGCCTTATCACCTTCAGGTGAAGCGGAGTCACTGTGAAAGGCCGACTGGGGCATCATTCCCTCCTTAACCCTTTCCTGGGCCCGGCCGAGTCCTGCTTCCAACCACTGGAGACAAGTGGCTCCAGGTTGTAGCGGAGAACGTCCGTCTTTGGCTGTACTTTGCCGGTCTTCAGATCGCACCCGGAGCCTTTTCTCTTCAATCTGACTCCGACAACTCGACAAAATTCCTATCGACTAAGCCAGACGGACATGGAAAAGTGCCACGGGGCGTCCCGTACCGGAGTACAGTCCCATAGCATGGGGGTTAGTGCACTCACCTCACAAGTGAGAGGACCTGGGTTAGATTTGATTAGCCTAAGGCAAAAACTTAGGGTAATTCCATTACTCCGCCTGTTTATCCAGCAGTAAGCAGGAATCCTTCCAGAAATAAACTGGTTTGTGCAATGCTACTGTGTGCAATTGGCTGCTGCGTTTCGCCCACAAAATATTCACTTTACACTTTACAGTGTATCCTGTGAAGCGATTTGAGACATCTCAAAGACGTGATAAGGCGTTATATCAAATGCAAGAATTCTTCTTATTAAATTATTATGGGATGTTTAAAGTCCGCTTGAACAGGCAGATCGGGACCTCGGGTTTCACATCTCGACCAAAAGACTGTTTATTGTACGCAATAAACTACAATACAATACAGCACAGTATTGCTATTCTCTTCACGAGAAGAGGCCACAGTTCAGACCTCACTGAAGGCTGGTAACCCACTTGCACTCATTTCCTATTTACTTTGTCCTCAGAAACACAGTCCCAAGAGATGTACAATCACAGCTATTGCTGCCACTTTCACAGTTTACTGTCAGAACGATTCCATTTGATGCCTGACATTTACCCAATTCTGCCTCAGTATCTGCTCAGCTCGCTGGGGGTGCAGGAATCCTTCCAAAAAAGATATGAAAAAAATAACTTAAAAAAATAATAATTTGGTCACTCAATCCACGACTGTTTGTGGGACAACAACAACAACAACAACAAGATTCCATTTATAGAGCGCCTTTCACGTCAGGAGGACGTCCCAAGGCGCTGCACAGTTGGGTCATGACCCGAGCAGGGGGGAAATGGTCAGGGTGAGGGGAGGGAAGGGAGGGAGAGAGGAGGGGGAAATGGTCAGGGTGAGGGGAGGGAAGGGAGGGAGCGAGGAGGAGGAAGAGAGTCGAGAGGGGAGCTGAAGGCACGGTCAAAGAGAAAGGTTTTGAGACCGGCCTTGAAGGAGGAAAGGGAGGAAGCGGCGAAGGCACTGGGGGATGGAGTTCCAGAGCCTCGGGGCTGAGAGGCTGAAGGCCCGACCACCGATAGTAGGGCGGTTGGGGCGGGGGACGTGGAGCAGACCGGAGCCAGAGGAACGGAGGGTACGGGCAGGTAGGTAGGGGGATAGTAGGTTGGAGAGGTAGGAGGGAGCAAGGCCGTGAATGGCCTTGTAGGTGAGGATGAGGATCTTGAAATCAATCCTCTGGGGGATGGGGAGCCAGTGGAGGCGAGCGAGGGTGGGAGTGATGTGGTCCCGAAGCCTGGTGCGGGACAGTACACGAGCTGCAGAGTTCTGAATGACCTGCAGCTTGTGGAGGGAGGTGGCGGGAAGGCCGGCGAGGAGAGAGTTCCCATAGTCCAGCCTTGAGGTGACAAAGGCGTGAACCAGGGTTTCAGCAGCGTGAGGGGTGAGGTAGTGCCGTAATCTGGCGATATTCCGGAGGTGATGGAAGGCGGTGCCAGTTGTGGTGCGGATGTGAGGGAGAAAGGACAGCTCAGGGTCGAACAAAACGCCGAGGTTCCTGACTGGCTTTGAGAGGTGGAGAGTGCAGCCTTGGATGCTGATGGTGTCAGCGCCTGAGGTGCGGAGGCGCTGACGTGAGCCAATCAGGAGGGCCTCGGTTTTTTGCACGTTGAGCTGAAGAAAGTTGTCTCTCGTCCAGGACTCGATGTCGGACAGGCAGGCTGTCAGGACATCGGTGGTCGTGGAGTTGAGAGTAGAGGAGGAAAGGTAGAGTTGGGTGTCATCCGCATACATGTGGAAGTTAACCCCATGTTTGCGGATGATGTCACCAAGGGGGAGCATATAGAGGGTGAAGAGGAGGGGACCGAGGACAGAGCCCTGAGGGACACCACATGAGACAGTACGGGGGGTGGAGGAGAAGCCATTCGTTGAGACGAAGTGAAGACGGTGAGAAAGGTACGACCTAAACCATTCAAGGACAGTGCCTTGAAGGTTGAGGTGGGAGGACAAGCGGTGGAGTAGGATAGCGTGGTCGACCGTATCGAATGCTGCCGATAGGTCGAGGAGGACGAGGAGACAGAGGGAGCCCTGGTCACAGATGGTCAGGATATCATTGGTGACCTTGACCAGGGCAGTTTCTGTGCTATGAGCAGCACGGAAACCTGACTGAAGGGGTTCAAAAAGAGAATGGGTGGAGAGGAAAGAGCGCAGTTGGGAGGCGACAACTCTTTCCAAGACCTTGGAGAGAAAGGGGAGGTTGGAGATGGGCCGGTAGCTTGATAGCTGCGACGCATCAAGGGAGGGTTTTTTCAGGGTGGGCGTGATGATGGCAGTTTTTAATGGAATGGGGACAGAGCCAGAGGAGAGGGACAGGTTTATGATGTCAGTGATGTGTGGGGCAAGAAAATGGAGCTGGGAGATAAGGAGTGGAGTGGGGATGGGGTCAAGGGAGCAGGTGGTTGGTTTTAGGGATAGGATGAGTTCAGTGACAG